AGTGAATATGATATGAAACTGGTGGGGTTCGGTACCTCCAACAAGGTTAAGAACCACTGGTCTATGCTGATGAGCACAACTCGTTGGCGACTCATCTCTTTGTAATAAGAGATTCAATCTGCTGTTTTTCAGCTGGTTGTATATAAAAGCGAGGTCAGTGCGCACCTGTGTTCTTTTGCAGGAACTTTTTCACTATTTGGAATTTCTCAGCAACAGATTTGTTAGCCTTGCATAGACTGGCAACCTGTCAGGGATGCTTCCTGCCTCTGCAATCAGCCCTTTGCTAAAGAGACCCAGTTCAGCTTGATGTTTGGTCAAGATCAGATATATTGGTCTGGGGCATCCCTTCTTTTTCCCAGCTTTCCCACGAAAGCAGGGTTTTTAAATGTAGTTAGCAACGATGGGTTAGGCTTTGAATTTTTTCAAATATTTGATCAGAAATTTAAAAAAGGAAAAAATAAGTGAATGAAAACAGTATTTCTATAAATGTCAAAAATGCATTGATTAAAAGATTGCATTTCCTTTTAGAGTTTGCTCTGCTGCTAAAATTAGAGCGGTGGACTTTACCCTGTGAATCATTACAGCTAACTGCACCTTACCAGCCTGTTTTTGTATACCTAGTATTTATTCTCCCTCCTATTGATTCCAGATGGCCTGCGGTCTGTTGTGGAGGAGCTGGAGCTGGAAAGAAACCAACTACAGGAGCAGATACTGAGCCTGGAGGAGCGCTGCCAGGACCTGGAGGATCGACTGCAGCTGCAGGCCCGTATAGAGGCATTACAGGTAACTCCATCCAACAACACACCATATGTGCTATCCCAGGGTTAACTGAAAGCAGCATTTGTATAACATACCAACTGTTGAGTAAACAATGAGTGAACTGCATGGAATGGGATTTTGTAACAAAACCTTCTAACACAGGTGACGTTTGATGTAGATGAAGATGAGCAGCCAAATTGGGTCTCTCAGGTGTGTTGGGTCGCTCATGTCTGTGTGCGTTAGAGAGCACCTCTGGCGGTGATGGCTAATGGTGTGGTGTGCTTATTTAACCTTGGATACGTTTGTCAAGTAACTTTCAAAGCACAAAGCTCACAGATTGTCTGTATTCACGCTGCTGATCTGTTGACATTTACAAAGTTCCTTTTCATCACACGTGTGGTCCACACGAATAGATGACTGATGATAGCAGTAACAGATTTCACGTTCTGTTGTTTTCAGCAGGTCTGCTGTCATCCACGATTGTGTGCAGTGCAAATGTCTTCATCCAGTGACGATCTTTGTGTTATTTATTGATGTTTGGTTTTCTGCCGCTGCAGAACGAGTCAGACAAACTGCAGAGCCAACTTGCAAGTGTCAGAAGTCAACAAAGCAGAGAGGCAGAGAAGCATCAGCTGCTGGTTAACAGTCTCAATGAGCAGCTCAAAGGGTAAGTTAACTATTCAA